GGACCGTGGCTGCCCTCCATGAGCACTAATCGATTATCATAGACAGATATCAATTTTCGAATCACCGGCCGACCAGCCAGTCATGACCAACAACGTACTGAAGCTGCTATAAATGCTTCATTTAGTGTGTTAATCATTTGAGAGGCAAATCTGGCCACATAAGAGTTTCCTAATATGTCAATACTGGGTGAGCTACGTCAATCATTAGAGAGGAAATAATTAGTCAAATAACCAATTAGTTGACATTATTGAAAATAAATTCACAAACACACCCGAATTTTAATTGGTAATCTGAAAGGGTTGCTACTTGTTGTTGTCTTTCACAGGTGAATACATAATTGAACATCCTTGGGTTTTCAAAAATATTAATAGTGCAAAACAAAAGAGTAACCACGAAGCAACTGCATTTGGGGGTTTTTCTCTGCAATTTTCAATAAAACTAAAATGTAAATTAATTCTAAGTCACCTTTTTAAAATTAAAATAAAATAAAATATAACCCCCAACATACTACAGATAAGATAATGCTGACTACAGTGACGCTAACTTCCAGGAAACTCAACACCTGATTCGTTAATTGCGAGCCATTACACTTCCTCAACTAACCTAATTAGACAATAATTCTTCAGAAAAAATATACTAAGCAGCTAAATATTAGGAGCAATTTAGCTGGAGACACACACTAAGTTGTTGGACAAACGGTTTAACACTTTCCAAGCCAACTTGTGTAACTCAAACAGCAACAAAAAAAAACAAAAAGAAAAACGCAAACATTTCGAAGTCAAGTTGATGTTTTGTTTGCTTTTTTTTTTTTTTTTGCGTCGTTTTCTTTCCTACCTTTTCCTCCGAGAGCGCAGGAGTGGCCCCAGGTAAGCCAGAGCAGCAGGAATGGGAGCCCGAGTGTGTGCATGTTGGCCGACAGTGAGCTGGTGTCTCCCCGACCTCCTCTTCTACACTCCTGGATCTCCTCCCCGGCGCGAGGATGTTCTCAGCTGGCCGGCAGCGCGCGGCAGAGCGAGGCAGGTCGAGAGACACCGACTGATGCCGAGAGAGAGAGAGAGAAAGAGAGAGAGAGAGAGAGGACTGACGGTCAGACAGCGTCAACGAGGCAAGACTTCCTAATGTGGCTTCAGCGTAAAACTCAGCCAGCTGTTAATGCTCAGTTATGTCGAATAAAGGCACCACAGCGAGGCTGCATTCACACTGAGCTTGAATTAATGTGTTTTTAGCATCATGTTGTTACAGCCTGTTGATTGTTGGGGTTTTGAAATAGGTATTATTCCAATATTGACAAATTGCACTCTTTTATGTTGAAAAATAAAAACCGTTCTTTTCGGGAACAATCTGGTTTTGTTGGTAAACTTGACAGAGGTGTTCGTAAGAAAGAAGGAGCAAGTAATGCAGGGAGGACTTCATGATAGGACGGGAATAGAAAGTAAATGTGTTTTGGGTTCTTTTTTTTTCGCTCTTTACTGTTACTTGACAGATTTCACCGGTAAAATCATAGAAAAAAAACATATTTTACATGCTGATCATTTAAAAAAATACAAAAGACAAAAAAACACCATAAATATTGTCAAAATCTGTATTATTTTTTTTAATGGTATTTTGTTCTTTTGCA